TAATCTAATAAACAATATTTTTAAAATTATCACTATGTCTACTGAGGTTTTGGATTCAAATAAGCAACTATTTCTGTAAATTCTTTACATATTTTACTCCTAAGAATTAGTTTGTTTTCACTTTTCTGCATTGATCTTGCTATTCTGCTCAGAATGTCATATCGACTTCACATGACAAAGAGTCTGTAAATATGGAATATAAGTAAACAAACATGCTTATTTATGCTTTGTTGAGCCACTGAGATTCATTTCTCTGGTCCAACCTGCAGCAGACTGCTCTTGATCTTGTATCTGAGCTATGTGGCCCTTTAAGACGTAGCGAGATGAGGTGGCAGGAGCGGGTAGTCAGTGAGGGCTAATGGATAACCAGCTGATTGTATCTGCACAGTCAAAGCACGGACGGGGGTCAGGGAGACGGGAGAGTACACAGACTCAGACCTGGTTCAAGATACGGTTTGGTTTAAAGCAAAGTTACAGATTTCAGCCACGTCACGTGACATTTCTTCCAGAGGGGAATTGAGACACTTAGCCTCAATTCTCTATTGGAAACAAGAAATTAAGTTGCATAAATGTGTGTTTATGTGGGAGGCTTGTCTTGAGGTGGTGTTAAAGCAGCCAAATATTTGTCCAAGGTGTGTGCGTCTTTAAGCTCGAATGCTGCAGAAAAGGAGGGCCGTGATAAGACGCAGATAAGAGATCTGAGAGAAACCTTCTGAAGGAAATGCAACAGCAAAAACAAAGGGAGAGTTAATCATCTCACAGCCTGCTAACCTCAGCTCAGCACGTGGAGTTTGGCATCAAATAACTGGTGGTACCAGACATGGGCAAACGGATTTCTAAAAGTTCTCCAAAGTCAGATTAGCTGGAGCTGGAATGCTGTCACTTATTGTTTCTAGAGTGGGTTTATCTGATTAAGTAATAAAGTTGGAGGATGTAACTAACACAAAAAGTAAACACTTCTTCAGAAAAAAATCTGACTGGATGGGTCTGATTTCACTTTAAAGATAAAGCAAATCTTTAAGAATAAACTGAAGGCAATGGGTGTTTTTGTTGCTTATGTTTGTGTGTTTGTTACCAAAATATCTCACAAACAACTTGAAAAGATTTAATAAAATATACACCAATGAAATGTATAGATGTAAATCTACAACTAACTACATTTTAAAGCCGACCTGTTTCAAGATGACTTTAAAAAAATATAAAAATGTCAGTTTCACACACACTGTCCTCAGTTTGATGTAGTAAGATTGATCCCCATAAACGTTCAGTGCTAACCCCTCGTGCAAGACATTTGTTTAAAATGTATGATTAAAGTGATTTAAATCAGCTGTGTCTGTGTGTTAAAAATATCTCATGAACTACTCAGTAAATTTGAATGAAACAGAAAACAATCAGTGGGTTTGAACGTAAACTGATTAACTTTTAGAACCAACCCAGTTTAGAATACAGTTTGCCAGATTTTGAGCTAAAATTTGATGCGTTAGTAGCTAAGCATCTCCTTGAAAACAAACTCTAAGCACAACACATTTGCTTAAATCCTTGGCATAAATTGCAGAAAATGCTCAGAAAAAATAAACTTAAATTAAATTAAAGTCAACCGAATTCAAGATGGCAGCCACAGAAAGCTGACTTCAGGTTACACAAATATGTCTATATCTAAGTGAATTTTACAAATACTGAGCAAAACTCTGGTCGTTCTCAAACAAATGCAAGGAAAAATTGCAATTTTCCATGAGTTTGCAAATAATATTCATTTCAAGATTGAACTAAAGCGACAACAAGAAAAATATTTCTCAAAATGAGATGGCATTAATTATTTTAGAATTCTCACATGAAAGGCAGTAAGTGATATTCATTCCTATAAGGAAGGCTTGGTCTTTATCTGCTTCTTTATTTGTCCATAGAGAGGATATTTTATTAGTGTTAAGACCAAACTGTGTTGTTTATTCTTTAATCTCACTGACTGATCGCTTCCTGGTGAGACTGAATATGGCGAAGAGCACAGGTGCACAGCCTGCTTTGATTGGCTCCCAATGGGCCACGCACAGACAAACATGTTCACAGAGTGATGGTGAAGGCGAGCTAGACTGTTAGTGAGACACGCCACAAAGAGTCCACCTCATTAATGAGTTATAACAGCTGGCGCACAAAGAAAACACACAAAGACACGTTGAAATTTGCAGCTGCTCTGATTTCTTTCTTACCTGACTTGACGCTACAGTGAATGTGGGCTTTGGACTCGTAGTAGACCCAGTCAAATCCAGCTTCTACAGCCAAGCGAGCCAACATGGCATACTTATTTCTGTCCCTGTAATGAAGGGAAACCTTTTCAGTCGCTGTCTTTTGCAAGTACCAAAACACATTTCAGCATTAAATGTGTATAGTTGGTGTCTTGTCACGATAGATTGAAGAAGTCACTGACTGTAACCTCAGCGTATAATGTACCTGTCTGATGTGGTGATGTCAACAGCACGGCCCTCGTAGTGCAGCGAGTCCTCGGAGTGATGGCCGTCCTCGTCCCAGCCCTCCGTCACCCTGAGCTTCACACCTGGCCACATGTTCATCACAGAGATGGCCAGAGAGTTTAACTTGTCTTTGCATCGCTGAGAGGGGCAAAGAAAAAAAGGAAACTGTCAGAGACAAACGTGGGAATTATCTAACCCCAAAAGTGCTCAAGTGGTAAAAGTCTGGGGAGTAATCAAAAGATTAAATATGTCCTCTGGACGAGTTCATCTTTAATGAAACATTTCATCTGGCTTATACTTATTTCTTCTACGGACTGAAGACGTCTCTTGGAGGAGAGACAGATGTTTCACTAAAGAAGAACCCATCCAGAGGACCTACTTTCTTTTCTGCCTGGATTACTGAGATGCATCAGGACATCTGGGGAGTAAAAAGGATTCTGAGGCTAGAATAAATTGAAAACCTGACATTTCTTGAAGGAATGAATATCGCCCATCTTCTTTGGAAGTTTTAATTCACAAAGGAAGCCACAGTCACATCTTGTGAGATACCTCATCATTTGTCATTTTAGGTAAGGTGTAGCAATGCTGTGCTGGCAAAAGCTAATGAGCTGAGGTGGCCATCTTGAACTGGGTTGCTGCAAACGCCAGTCAGTGTGCTCCAGGGCAGCTGTGGCTACAGTGTAGCTTACCATCATCAGTGTGTGAATGTGTGTATGAATGAATAAAGTAATCTCTGAGTGTCTAAAAAAGCATTAAGACTAGTAGTTGTAGTAGTAGTAGTAGTAGTAGTAGTAGTAGTAGTAGTAGTAGTAGTAGTAGTAGTAGTAGTAGTAGTAGTAGTGTTATAAACATTCATTCAGTGATTAATTTCTAAAAGTTTTATCAAAATTTAAAGAATGGTTTATCAGATAATTTGCTAACATGGTGTTTACCTGATGCAGGTGTTGCCACAGTTTGAGCCAAAGAAGTTGTGCAACAGATATCACTTTGTGTATGTGTTGGGAACGATGGTCAGCTCTCATTATCTCTAAAACTGGGGTGGTTACCATCCTTTTAGGTCAGTTAGCTGCAGTCATCTTGGATTGAGTTAACTTCAAAGCTTAGTCGCTTTTAGAACACTCACCGACTGATTTTTGAACGTTAAAATCCATCAAGTGACTCGTGATGTTTTACTAACAAACTGACAGAAGGGACTCTAATGACCAAGTTTTCTAAAACCTCATCTTTTAGAAGTTAAATTATGTATTGAGGGTGATTATCACACCATATATGAGTTCAATGTCTGTAACATTGATTGCGTTGTCAGTTTTGTTTTTCCTAGACCAGTTGGTTCTGGTGGCCATCTTGAATGTGAGGAAATAAAACAGACAAAAAGGTAAAAATAAGTGATTATAAAAGATAAAACCCTGCACTGAAATAAATGTGTTGGACTTAAAGCATGACTGTTGCCTCACACACCATATGGTACACTTAAAGTTGCACTCCGAGTAATAACTATAAGTCACAAGATGAATGTTCAAAGTACACATGTCTGATTTTCTTTTCTTTTTTCCTGTTTGTTTGGGGTGATTCAGAAGCTTGGGGTGCAAAAGAAAGGCTAGAGCTCAACATAGGTTGTGAATTTGAAACTATTTAAAGTTCAGTAAAGTTTCTCAATGAATGAGAAAAACAACTATAATGAGTTAATTGCATATGCCACAGTTTCCGCAAGGATGCAGTGAACTTTTACGCGTGACTGCGTGCGTAAAACCGCAAAGGGTCCCAATGGCACGTTCACCCAAATGGCTGAAAGCAGTGTTGGTTTTAGCCAGGTGAGCAGGGTAAACTGTGCCGGTTAGGATTGTTGTTTGCTAGATTTAATGAATTCATTATGAGTAATCTAAAAGAGAGGGGGGGTTTTCCGGCCCACACATGACCGATCAAATGGAAAATGAGACAATGATTGGGGTCACTTGAGGTGGAGGTTTAAAGCAGCAGAAGTATGTTAGGTAGCAAGTTCCGAGAAGAAGCCGAAGGGTTAATGAAATCAATCAGTTTGGTTTAAACATTTAACTGACAGCAAACATTCAGCAGCGCTCAGGAGTTTCTTACTTTGTCCAGCTCTGGGAAAGCATCTCACCTGCGTCATGAGCCTGTCTGCGCCTGTGTCCTCCTCATCCTTAAAGATGATGTCTGTGTTGTAATTCGGCGTCAGCTCTTTGAAACGCTCGGAGTTGCGCGTAATTTTGCCCTCGGGCCGCCCGCTGGCCCCCAGGGTCTTCTCGGCCACGTTGGGGCTGAACTGCTTGTAGGCGAGCGGGATGAGCTTCTTCGGGGGTCGCCTCTTGCCGTATCCCCTCCCCGGTCCGCAGCCCTCCGAGGCAGGTGCGAGGAGGAGGAGGAGGAGGACCAAGGCGCACAGAGAGGCTGGGAGAAGTAGCAGGGAGATCCGCATCGCCCCTGCGTGGGGTGGGGGGGTGGGGAGGGAGGACTCTCCCGTGGGGAGAGAGAGAGATGTCTTCAGTGCCTCCCAGATTCAGTGTCCATTGTCCGTGGCATTTCCAGCGGCACGTCCGGAAAATCTGGATAGAAGGTCAGCTCCGCGCGTCCACACTGCACCATGAGGAAAGCAGAAAGTTTGAGGGTTCTGCAGATCTGAGCCGAACTCGCGCTGCTCTCCCGCCGCCTCACAGAACCAACGGTAAGTGCGTTGGGCTGTAAAGTCCGCGGATTTAAACAAACAGGTTCAAAGTCGATTTGGTGGGCGTGAGAGTTGGAGAGAGAGAGCGAGAGAGAGAGAGAGAGAGAGAGAGAGAGAGAGAGAGAGAGAGAGAGAGAGAGA